TGTAATTTTTATTTTTACTTTTTTGGCTTTGCTGGGAATGGAACCCAGGGTCTTGCACATGCTACACAGGTGTTCTACCACTGAACCACATACCTAGCCTTTTGATTATAAGTTTAAAAACTTGGGGTTAGCTGGGCATGGTGTCCTCTGACTATAATCCCAGCTTCTGAGGGGCAGAGGCAGGAAGATCGTGTTTAAGCCCAGTCTGGGCAATTTAGTGAGACCTTGTCTCAAAATAAAATAAAATTATAGGATCTGGGGATATAATGCAATGGTAAAGCACCCTTTGGTTTATGCATTCATTTAAAGTTGAGATAAGAGAATTTTCCTCTATATTTCAATTATAAACTATCCTTTCAAAAAACTTCACTATGCCATTTGCTGATTATTGGGACATTTTTGAAAGAGAGGCTGCTGTGATGTTGGGTGGCCTTCGTTGAGAACTGTAGCTTGTTCAGGGCAGGACCTTCAAGGAGCACCTGGAGTTTACCACCCTCACTTCACCAGAGGTGGCATCATGGTCTACATGTCTGGGCTCCTTGTCCTTTGTTCTTTCTGCTTCATCATTATGTTGGCATGAAAGACCAATGAACAGCTACTCAGAATATCTATTGACTTAAATGTTTAGTCCTTGATCATTCAAGTTTTGATTAATCAATGACTCATTTGATCTTCATGTAAAATCAGGTTTGCTTTTCTTCCAAGATAGAGTATTTCATGGAGCTCACAAAAAAGGGATTTGGCACAGCTCATGGTGGTTTCTTTCTGTGGCTAAACACCAAATCTCTTTTCAGCAGTTTTATTCCTTTGCATATACATGTTTGGAAACAGCCTGGGTAGCAGATTCCCTTAAACCTTATAAAGCAAATATGTATATGCTAATATGCAGACTTATTTTAGGTCCTCATGGCCTCCTTTGCAGGACTAATCAGAGATCTGTTAGCTCACCTGCTACCGTATTCTCCCATTTGAAATTTGGTACATATGACTCCTTTTGAGGTCATTGACACTTTTGTGTGTGTGTGTGGAGGGGCAATATTACAAAAGGAAGGCACTGACTTCTGAGCTTTTTAGAAAGTTGATACTTTAATAACTTCTAATTTTTGAGAGTAGGTTTTCTGAATTATGAATTTTACCCTCAGAAAATAAGAAAATTAAATGCCGTTTCTTCATAAAGCTTCATCCACAGTTGTATTGAATATTATTTCTATAATTAGACAAACTCATTTTTTTTGGTCCTTATTTTTCCCAATTGTGTTGGTTTTAATGTATACTCCTCCCGCTGCATCATTTAGTGTTTGGCCTCTGACCTTTTAATAGGTAATAAATAAATAAAAGCAGGAGTATATGGCCACCAAGGAAAATCTACATTTTGCTTTTGCTAGACTGTTACATATACTATGTATGGTGATTTTTTAATAGAATTATATCTTGGGAAAGGGAAAGGAGTTATCTTATTTGTTTTGGAAAGAAAGTAAAAATTATAAGTAAAATAAAAATAAAGTCAATTGCACCTTGAAAAATCCCTCAAATCACCCATAAAACATCTTATACCTAGTGATTGTGTGTAGCTTTATGGGAAATTCTTATGCACACTGCAGATTGTGATGTGCTGAACCAGGTTCAAGGAAGACAAGGGCTTTTGGCAGAAATCTAGGTGGTCAGACAGACCACTTTGCTTTTAGGAGAGACTCCAGTGTGGAATGGGAAAGGGAGAGTCCCAGTGAGACCCTGCTTGTCTGGGGGCTTCACACCATCAGGTTTGTAACAAAAAGACTTCATGTCTTAATACTTATTAAAAGTTTTTTTTTTTTTTTTTGGTGTTGGGGGGCAGGGGACTAAATGAGATCATGTACATGGCAGCCTCTATCTAATGCAGAGCACCCTGCATGGACAAAGTTAGATGCTCAGTGAATCTTCGATTGAATAGATTCTGATCTGGCTCAATGAATTACATATCACACTGGGCTTGAAAAGGTTTTCAGAAAAACCTGGCCACCTGTTTACTGCCTTTCCAGGTTGGTGTTCCTGCTAGTAATCTCTTGGAGCACCTTCCCTTTCTCAAATCCTTATTATTGGCCTTTAGATAAATTTTCATGAATTAAAACATGAATATTCAAGTTACCACAAGATGGCGTAAGATCCTTTCTAGTAATGCCAGGTAGGAGGAGCCTCAGTTCAATATTTCTTTAATTAAAAAAAAAAAAGTTAAAATACGTGCCATTCATGTCATGGTGTAATGGTATTTAGCTATTGCACATAAACCCCTCATTTCTTTTACCAATCTTGTATAGAAATTTGAGGCTCATGCCTGTAAAATGCCAAAAGTAGTTGTGTAGGAAAATGACTTAAATCTTGCAAATGATTATTTCCTACAGAGAACAGTTCATGGTGGCTATGTTCAGCTAATAAGATTTCCATTTTACTTTTGTTATTTACAAACATTGTCTAATGAATGATCCTTAAGTATTTTACAATGCACTGTTCCATGGGTTTTCATTTGCTTATTATCCTTCAGTCTGCTTTATTTTCTTCTGAGCAGAACTGACCTATTTATTTATTATTTGTTTTCCCAATTAACCTATAAATCCTGTAAGAGGCTACAGTTTTGTAGCCACATGCTATATCCTGAGTGCCTGGAACAGTGTCTGGCATGGTATATTCTCAAAAAAAAAAAAAAAAAAAAAAACTTGAATGAAGAAAAACTAGAGAGTTTTCACTATTATTGAAACCAATACCTGTGTATTAGTAAGCAGATACTAAGATTATGTAAAATCATGAGGTATTTGAGTTTACAGTCTTTAGGAATTTTATTGACAACTCAGTGAAGTATCAGAACTTGAAAACTTTTATTACTACACTTCCATGGTGACTATATTTCTAATTTCTTCTGTGATTTAATTCAGTGTCAACAACATGTAGCATATTTATAATATGATATTCAATGAGGATTTATTTGTGGGTATACAGTGAGCAAACCAGAATGTAGTACAGGAAACAATCTTAGTTACTTTAGTGTGCAAGTTACAATTCTCACACATGCACACATGCTTCCCAGGCCTTGGGAGTCTCGGATTCTCCCCTGCTTCAAGGTTCTCGTGTAAATGAAGGACTCTTGTGCTGAGAAGTTGAATATCTAAACCAACTCTTTTGGACATGGGTCTGTAAAGGGCTAAACTTCAGAAAACCGGTTGTTTTAATTTTGAGCACTTCCTTTCCAGGGATAAAATGAATGTTTTTAAAGCAGTTTATAAAAACCATGTTTTTTGGTCTGGGAATGTAGTTCATTGGTAAAGCATATGGAAGGCCTTGGGTTCGACTCCCAGTACTGCAGAACAAGCGAACGAACCAACAAACTATGTTTTTCATCAGTTAACCAAGATTGCCATTGCCAGAATGGAGATGGGAGTGACATTGCAATGTGGAAGGTCTGGCGGTGTTGAGACAGCTGAAGAGTGAGAAGCTACCTGCTTCCCAGACTAGTTCCCGAGGTCACTCACTCACTCAGCAAATAGTTATTGGGAGCTTCCCATGTGTGCTGGTCAGTGGAGAAACGGGAATAACTGAAACAGATGACATCCCTGCCTCATAGAACCAATGTTCTAATCTAGTGTCTTTCTGCGGCCACAGATATCTTTAAGCATGTGTGAAAGTGACAAATCCTTCTTCCTGAAAATCAGCTGGTCAGACAGACTCTTATAAACAGAGAGACAGGTGTGCAGGTGCAGGTACACACACACAGACACACACACACCGGTGCCTGCAGCTCTGCTTGGAAAGACCCACATGCACAATTTCCTATTCCATTTTTCAGGATTTGGGGGACTTAAAGCTTAAGTTCTTCAAGTGAATGGCCCCTCTGCTCTCACCCCTTACTTTACCTCTTGCTCAGCATTTTCTGTTGCCCTGAATAAGACTTTCTGCTAATTTCCTTTTCAGATTTGATCACATGAGAGGCAGGAAACCTGGGGAGGCCTGGGCCCAGGGGCTCAGGGCCACCTGATTTATGACTTTGAGGGAGTCACTTCTGATCCCTCCACCTCTCTTTCCACATCTGAGTAATGGAAAAGGTTGGGTTAAAGTAACTGGCGAGGTAATTTCATGGTAGGGTAGGAGGACTGGCGACAGGCAGAGAGTATCTGGGGTAAATTACATTATCTCAATATATTACTCATGAATTCTTTTGAGCAAATAATTTAATTTACAAACCAATCCTTATTTCTCACATATGAAATGGAAAAAAAAATAACACTCACTTCATGGAATGTTTTGGAGAATTAAATGAGATAAGGTATGTAAATTGCCAAGGACAAAAATGGTAGCTATTATCAACCTTATTACATCCAAATTGTCTTTCAAGATAATTCAATCAGCAAATTAAATATTTATAAAGCACCTACTATTTCCCTGGCATGGTATATGTCTATGATCATTATCCTGGGATGCTAATCCAGCTACCAGGCAATGGTTATAGGACAGTAGTGAAGGAATTCTTTCCATATTTAACAGGCCTGGCTTAATTTGCTCACTCCAGCAGGGGCCAGCTGGGTGACTTTAACCAATCCAATCTTTATTCAGTATCCATTTCTGAAAAATGGGGATAACGACTTATAACCCATTCCTAAGAGAACAGTTGTTGAATTTACATGGGATCATGCAATTAAAGCATTTAGACAGTGCCTGGCACGAAGAACTCTCTTGATTTACATTAGTCTGGCTCAGTATTGATAGTATTATTATTTGTTAATTAGTCTAACCTCACCCCCCTACACATACCCAGGGCTATGTTAGAACTAAATCTTCCCTGGATTTCATACAAGTCCAGGCTTCTCACTTATCCAGGCCCAATAATGAAATTAAGATCCTTGATTTAAAACTGGCCTTTACTGAGAGGTTGCTTGGCAAATATTTATGGATCCTGCAAATAGCTGTGGTTTCTATGACCTAATTCACTTTGGTTAAAGATGAATTGTAATTCTTCTTTATGTTTTTTCATTTAGTATCCAAACCCCATGGATAAAAATGTCATCTCTGTAAAAATCGTGGAGGAAAAAATAGGTAAGTCCTCTGAGTGTACCCACTCATCAGTGATGATTGTGAGGTGACGCCAACTTTTGTAAAGATGTATGTGTGCATATGTGTGCATCCTGTTTTGTCTTAAGTAATTCTCTTGTCACTTTCAATGGTAAGACTGAACTGCAAGCTGGCTGCGGTGGCACATGCCTGTAATAACAGTGGCTTGGAAGGCTGAGGCAAGAGGATCATGAGTTCAAAGCCAACCTCAGCAACTGAGCAAGGAGCTAACGACTCAGCAAGATTCTATCCCTAAATAAAATACAAAAAAAAAAAAAAAAGGGCTGGGGATGTGGCTCAGTGGTTAAGTGCCCTCGAGTTCAATCACTGGTTCAAAAACAAAACAAAAGTGAGTTTACATCATTGTAATAGGTAACATTTTGGGTTACTTAAAATGTTCTAAGCACTCTTACTTTGATTATTTAATGAATGAAGACATTGATATATAGAGAGGTTAAATAATTTACCCTAAATCTAATAGCTATATCTTTATCCTATGATTATGTATTATTTTGTAGATGGCAAAACAGGTGTGATTAACAGCATATTATGAGATGTGAGCAGAGAATGGTTAGATTATGGACTCATAAATGTACTTGACAGTGTGTTTCAGTGTTGGTTAGACCGATGATGGCTCATGATGCCTGTTTTGGGGATTTCTATTGAAATATATTCACACCAATTTATTTACCTATGACTGCTTCCTTTCTGTAATGGCAGAGCTGAGTTATTTTCAGCAGAGACCTTAATGACAAATTATTTATGGCTCTTTTCAGAAAATTTCTGACCCCTGCACTAGAGCTTAGGCATCTCTCCTGTTCTTTGTCATTGCCATCCTCAGTGGAAAGGTTGTCCCTGCCGTTTGAACTCGAGGAATGGACAGCATAGGAAGCTATGACAATATACGTCATCAATGCACAAATGTTTGGAGATAACCCAGACTGCTGTCTAACATGCCCTGCAGCCTTCTTAGAAATCATGAGATGCTCCTGCTCTGAGGCCCCCTCTGTGCTTGATAGATGTAAAACTATCTTTTGTTTGTAAGGGTATTTTCTGTACTTCTATAGTTAGATAAATATATTTAAAAATTGTTTTCTCAATGTAGGATTAAGTTTTTATCTGGCATCAGACACACCTGACTCCCAGTCCTGATTTGTTACTACCTCCATAGCTTAACTTTTGGCAGGTTCAGTTTGTTCATCTGAGCTCCCAAGTAGTAAAATAATCTGGTTTTTAGGTTGTTGTGAAGATCAACATTGAGAAAACAACATGCACATTCTAAAGTGCTCTAGGAGTATTCATGATAATGTCTGTCATTGTCAAGGGCATCTTTGCCTCTGAGAGTAGCTCATCCATTTTAAGAGTGGGGATGACATGGCCAGAGGGAGTGCCAACAGGCAGATGGTTGTACAATAATTCTGGGCAGTCAGGATGTTTTCAGCCAGGGTCAGCACTGTGACCTGCAGTGTAGTTGAGTTCCAGTAATTCTCAGAGCAAATAACAGCACTTCAAAGTTTGTCATTTTCTTTGCCTCTGTCTCCCTTTTCCTTAACTCTCATTTATTGTGTTTTTTATATACCTGGCACTATTCTGGAAACTTTTTACAAAACAGAATCATTCTGTTCCCAGGGCATCAATTCCTCTATGAGCAAAGAGTATGGCTTATATAATTAGTTAGCTGTAGGCTTAAACTCTGGTTAGAAATCTGTGCTTCAAAGTGTGGTATAGATGCTGACAGAACCAGATTCTACATCTTTTTTTTTTTGGTACCAGGGATTGAACCCAGGGGCTCTTAACCACTGAGTTATATCCCCAGCCCTTTTTGAGATAGGCTGTCACTAAGTTGCTGAGGCTGTCTTTGACCTGGCAATCCTTATGCCTTAGCCTCCCAAGTTGCTGTTATTACAGGTGTGCACTACCATGAACAGCTTAGATTCTCCATCTTAATGTAAAACATTCTCTTTATTGGAATTGAGCAGGAGGCTCACAGGCCGTCGTCACTGGAGCATTGACATTGATAATCCTGAGTAGCACACAGTTTGTGATTCTTTATCCTTGACTTTAGCATGTGCATTGTGAGTTGTTCTAAGTTTCACCCTCAATGCTTGATCATAGATAAAGAATACCTGTGACTTGGCGAAGAAGAGTGGTGAAGGAAACTGAGTTTTGAGTTAAACATTTTCTCTAGGAATTATACATATAGAAAATTGAAGTTGACTTTAAAAGATTTAAGTCAAGAATATCTTTTCTTACTTAATTTTTTTTGAGTGTGAAATTTTCTTTTTCTTTTTAATTTTTTATTGTGGGTTGTTCAAAACATTACAAATTTCTTGACATATCATATTCCACACTTTGATTCAAGTGGGTTATGAACTCCCACCTTCACCCCATACACAGATTGCAGAATCACATCAGTTACACATCCATTGATTTACAAATTGCCATACTAGTGTCTGTTGTGCTCCGCTGCCTTTCCCATCCTCCACCCTCCCCCCTCCCCACCTCTCCCCTCCCCTCCCCTCCTCTCTCTCTACCTCCTCCACTGTATAACCCTGAGGGTCTCCTTCCATTACCATGCAATTTCCCTTCTCTCTCCCTTTCCCTCCCACCTCTCATCCCTGTTAAATGTTAATCTTCTTCTCCTGCTCTTCATCCCTACTCTGTTCTTAGTTACTCTCCTTATATCAAAGAAGACATTTGGCATTTGTTTTTTAGGGATTGGCTAGCTTCACTTAGCATAATCTGCTCTAATGCCATCCATTTCCCTGTAAATTCTATGATTTTGTCATTTTTTAATGCAGAGTAATACTCCATTGTGTATAAATGCCACATTTTTTTTATCCATTCGTCTATTGAAGGGCATCTAGGTTGGTTCCACAGTCTTGCTATTGTGAACTGTGCTGCTATGAACATCGATGTAGCAGTGTCCCTGTAGCATGCCCTTTTTAGGTCTTTAGGGAATAGACCAAGAAGGGGAATAGCTGGGTCAAATGGTGGCTCCATTCCCAACTTTCCAAGAAATCTCCATACTGCTTTCCAAATTGGCTGCACCGATCTGCAGTCCCACCAGCAATGTACAAGTGTACCCTTTTCCCCACATCCTCGCCAGCACTTGTTGTTGTTTGACTTCTTAATGGCTGCCAATCTTACTGGAGTGAGATGGTATCTTAGGGTGGTTTTGATTTGCATTTCTCTGACAGCTAGAGATGTTGAGCATTTTTTCATGTACTTGTTGATTGACTGTATGTCCTCCTCTGAGAAGTGTCTGTTCAGGTCCTTGGCCCATTTGTTGATTGGGTTGTTTGTTCTCTTATTGTCTAATTTTTTGAGTTCTTTGTATACTCTGGATATTAGGGCTCTATCTGAAGTGTGAGGAGTAAAGATTTGTTCCCAGGGTGTAGGCTCCCTATTTACCTCTCTTATTGTTTCTTTTGCTGAGAAAAAACTTTTTAGTTTGAGTAAGTCCCATTTGTTGATTCTAGTTATTAACTTTTGTGCTATGGGTGTCCTATTGAGGAATTTGGAGCCCGACCCCACCGACTGTAGATCGTAGCCAACTTTTTCTTCTATCAGACGGCGCGTCTCTGATTTGATATCAAGCTCCTTGATCCATTTTGAATTCACTTTTGTGCATGGCGAGAGAAAGGGATTCAGTTTCATTTTGTTGCATATGGATTTCCAGTTTTCCCAGCACCATTTGTTGAAGATGCTATCCTTCCTCCATTGCATGTTTTTAGCCCCTTTATCAAATATAAGAAAGTTGTAGTTTTGTGGATTGGTTTCTGTGTCCTCTATTCTGTACCATTGGTCCACCCGTCTGTTTTGGTACCAGTACCATGCTGTTTTTGTTACTATTGCTCTGTAGTATAGTTTGAAGTCTGGTATCGCTATACCGCCTGATTCACACTTCCTGCTTAGCATTGTTTTTGCTATTCTGGGTCTTTTATTTTTCCATATGAATTTCATGATTGCTTTCTCTATTTCTACAAGAAATGCCATTGGGATTTTGATTGGCATTGCATTAAACCTATAGAGAACTTTTGGTAATATCGCCATTTTGATGATGTTAGTTCTGCCTATCCATGAACAGGGTATATTTTTCCATCTTCTAAGATCTTCTTCTATTTCTCTCTTTAGGGTTCTGTAGTTTTCATTGTATAAGTCTTTCACCTCTTTTGTTAGGTTGATTCCCAAGTATTTTATTTTTTTTGAAGATATTGTGAATGGAGTGGTTGTCCTCATTTCCATTTCAGAGGATTTGTCACTGATATACAGGAATGCCTTTGATTTATGCGTGTTGATTTTATATCCTGCCACTTTGCTGAATTCATTTATTAGCTCTAATAGTTTCTTTGTAGAGCCTTTTGGGTCTGCTAGGTATAGGATCATATCATCTGCAAATAGTGATAATTTAAGTTCTTCTTTTCCTATTTTTATGCCTTTAATTTCTTTCGTCTGTCTAATTGCTCTGGCCAATGTTTGAAATTTTCTTTTCTAGATGAATCAACAGGAATCATCTATAGAAAGAGGATTGCAATCTGCCAGAATGTGATTCCAGAAATTTTAAGAAAGGTAAATTCTTTACAAAATTTAGTCACAGTAAATGTAACACTGAGTAGCTTTTAACAGTTTTGGAGGGAGATATGAGGCAGAGCCCTGGACCGTCCTACTCCTCCCACCTCATTGCTCCTTGGAGGAGGAAAGCTTTTTCTTATCCACCCTGCTTTTGGCAGATGCTGCTGGAGACTCTTTGTCCCTGTCTCTACTTCTTCTGTGAAGGAATCTTAATGGATATAGAGATGTTCTACGAGTATTAAAGATACTTTTGGCATTTTGCATGAAGTGATATTGTTTTCAGTCTGTATATGGCTAGAAATGACTCAGGTAAACATGATTGGAAGGGGGAAGTTTGTAAATATTTAGTCTGATAGTAAAGAAGTTAAAAGCTCCAGTTTCCTAATTCACTGTCAGAGACGAGTAATTTCTGAGAGTATAATGTTCCTAGTGCCCTATGTAAATCTTTTTGTGTATTTCTGTGCAATAATCTTGTTGATCGTGAAATCTTCATGATAGCAAATTGTTTTCTCTCTTTGAAATCCTTTAAGCACTCTGGTGATTCTTTGTTGGAAAAAGGTGAGTGGAAAATTTTAATCACTTGGCTTGAACCATAGAGAGACTCGTGACAAGAGTCTTTTTACAATTATTAGGAAGTAAGAGGAAAGCATTATGATACACACGTCTAAAAATGCCTCAGATGGTTGTTTCAACCTGCAAGAGATTCTATGTGTGATTTAGAACTCAACTCGGCTCCTGCTGATTAGCTTGCAAATTAAATTGCTGCGCCATACGTAGGGAAAACGGCAGCTTCCATCACTTCCCTATCGTGGATTAAAAGACTCTGTCACATTCTTAGTAGAAAGAAAGCTAATATGTCAGTGAAAATGAACTTTCTTTTATTTTCCAGATGGTAAAATGTGTTACCCTGTAGCAGCAAATTATTACTGGCTTTTTCCACAGAGTGCATACCCTGCCTTTGCCCTATACACTCACTTTGAATCTATTATTTAGAAAGGCATTCAACTTTGTCTTGTATCTCAATTCTTAAATAATTTAAGGATACCTCTGACTTGTACAATTCTGCCTTTGTAGTTTTCCATGTCTTCTCCACCTAGGAAAGCATACAGTTCTAGGTATTGGACAGAGTTTAAAATGAAGAAAATATTTTACCAGGTAGCACCCTGCATGTGAGCCTGTAAGTGGGCCCGATTAGAATCCATCAATTTAAGAAGGCTATAACCAGCCCTAGAGGAGACACGAAGGAGGCTGATAATTTGCTTAGTGTTTAGCAGTTAGGGAAATTAGGCCAGGCACCATATAGCTGACATAAATCCTGGGCCTTTTGCACGTCTTTGCCGGCTCTTGGTAAGGTTGTAGTGTGTTTGATTGCCAGGGGCTCAGCATCGGTGGGCCATCGTCTGTATGTCAGGGGATCTTGTCCTCTTTATTCCCCAAGACTGAAAGCAGCTCTCAATTCCCTGCATAACTTGAACTTCTTAAATTGAGAAAGGCATCCTTCCTCTGTTGGCAGGTGAGCATTTTAAAGGTCCCTAGTATCCAGTTAGAAGAGGAATCGTGGCTCAACCCTCAGGGAAGAAACATGGCTATTCAGAGTCACTGCCTTACGTGGACACAGTATGCATCCATGAAGGAGGAGTCTGTCTTCCGGGAAAGTGTGGAAAATCCAAATTGGTAAGGTCACCTCTGTGTGTGTGTGTGTGTGTGTGTGTGTGTCTGTGTGTGTATTTTGGGTGCAGGGGTGCACAAATGAGCATGTGTATTAAAAAGCTATGATTCTGTACTTTTGACTTCTGTTTACAACTCCATAAATGCCATATAATTAGTTTCTTGATCACATAAGTAATAAATGAGTAAATATTTCTTTGGAGGAAAAATGGTGGAGCTCAACTCCTCTGACCATCTCTTTCAATTTTGGTGTCTTATCAACCTCTCCAGAGGCAGTAGACTATTTTAATTTGTATAATATTCTTCTAGACCTTTAGCACTTAAGTATAGGGCACTTACATAATATAATCATAAAGGCTGAATATATGGTTTTATATATTGCTTTTACATACATGATTTTATACTGTGTAAATTATTTTACAACTTTTTTTTTTTTGCTAAATGGAATGTTTCTGAGCTTTATCCATTTGAGACATATATGTATGTATATATCTGACGTATTCTTTTGCATAGGATTCAGGCCTGTGACTACTCTACATTTTATTTATTTACTTCCTTTGTGATAGACATTAAGATGGTGTCTAGTTTCTCTCTTTTACAAACAAGAACACAATATCTGTGAAGCATATGTCTCTTATAGGTGATCCCTTATACTATATTTGAGCATTGCTCTGTGTAGAATTTTTAAATGTTGCCAGGTTTTTTGAGAAATCATTTACATACAATAAAATTTACTCATAGTTTAGAGTTCTGTAAGTTTTGACAAACATGTATAGTTGTGTTGCTAATCCTACAAATAAGCTGTTGCACATTTAAGATATATATTAATTATATATTACAAGACAGTTCAATAGGATAAAGAATATTCTCTTTGACATATGGTTCTGGTACAACTGAATATCTATATATGAAAGAATGAAGTTGGACTCCTACCTCACACCAAATTTAAAATTAACTCAAAATGGATCAAACAACCTAAATAATAAAAATGCTAAAGCTATAATATACATAGAAGAAAACAGATATAAATTTTTGTGATCTTATATTAGGCAATTTTTTTTAGATATGACAATAGGAAAATAATGAAAAAGTTAAAGCTATAATATACTTAGAAGAAAACAAATATAAATTTTTGTGATCTTAGATTAGGCAATTTATTTTTTAGATATGACAATAGAAAACTAAGCATCAAAAGAAAAAAACCATAAAATTGACTTTATCAAAATTGAATAAAAACTTTTGAGTTTCAAATGGACACTGTCAAGAAAGTAAAAAGACAATCAGGAGCATGGGAGAAGAAATTGCAAAACATATATCTGATAAGAGTCTAGAATTCATAATATGTAGAGGACTACTACAACTCTATAATAATAAAAGGACAGTCCAATTAAAAAATTGACAAGATATTTGTATAGAGAGTTCTTAAAGAAGATACATAATAGCCAATAACCCCCACAAAATTTGTGGGGATTATTTGGGAAATGCAAATAATAAACCACAGTGAGATACATTTCAGATTTACTAGAGTAGCTATAATTAAAAAGACACATAATAGTTGGGCTGTAATCCCAACTGAGGGATTAATCTACTGTAATTGAGAGGTTGAGGCATGAGGATTGTGAGTTCAAAACCAGCCTCAGTAATTTATCAAAGCCCTAAACAACTCAGCAAGACCCTGTCTCAAAATAAAAAACAAAAACAAAAACAGAAAAACAAAAAGGGCTGGGAGAGCTGGGTGTGGTGGTGCATGCCTATAATCCCAGTGGCTCAGGAGGCCCAGAAGGCAGGAGGATTGCAAGTTCAAAGCCAGCCTCAGCAAAAGTGAGGCGCTAAGCAACTCAGTGAGACCTCGTCTCTAAATAAAATATAAAATAGGGCTGAGGCTGTAGCTCAGTGGCAGAGCACTTGTCTAGCATGCATGAGGCACTGGGTTTGATCCTCAGCACTACAAAAAAATGAACAAATAAAATAAAGGCATTCTGTCCATCTACAACTACAAAAAAAAAAAAAAAAATTAAAAAAAAATACAAAATAGGGCTGGGGATGTGGCTCAGTGGTCGAGTGCCCCTGAGTTCAATCCCCAGTACAAAAAAACAAAACAAAACAAAACAAAAAAACCCCAATAACAATAACAAGCATTGGGATGGATATGGGGAAACTGAAACTTTTATACATTACTGCCAGGATGTAGAATTGTGAAACCACTATGGAAAACAGGGTTTTAATGTCTCAAAAAGTTAAATATAGAGTTACCATTTGGCCCAGAAATTTTACTCCTATATGTATATTCTGAGAAATGAAAACAAATCTCCACACAAAAACTTGTACAAACATTCATAGCAGCATTATTCATTATCCAGAATATGGAAACAGGCCAAATGTCTAGCAGCTGATGGATAATTAGCTAAACATAATATACTCATAATGGAATAAAAAGGAATGCTTATTTATGTTACAATGTGGAAAACCTTTAAGGATATTGTGCTAAGTGAAAGAAGCCAGTTAAAAAGGCCACATATCATGTGGATGGATCATCCATGTATTTGAAATGTCCAGAAAAGGTAAATCCATAGAGTTAGAAAGTAGATTAGTGATGGCCACTGGCTAGTGAGAGAGGAGAACAGGGAGTAACTGCTAATGAGTATGGAGTTTTTTTTTTTGAGGGGAATACAAAAAATGTTCTGGAATTAGTGTTGATGACTTTCCAACTTTGTGAATATATTGAATTTCACTAAATTGTACACCTTAAAAAGCTGTATCTTAGCCAGGTGTGGTGGTGCATGCCTGTAATCCCAGTGTCTGGGGAGGCCGAGACAGGAGGATTGTGAATTCAAAGCCAGCCTCAGCAACTTAGGTAGGCCATAAGCAATTTAGTGAGACCCTCCCTATCTCTAAATAAAATATTAAAAGGGCTGGAGATGTGGCTCAGAGGTTGAGCACCCCTGGGTTCAATCCCCAAAACCAAACCAAAAACAAAACAAAACAAAACAAAACCAAAAACTGTGAATCTTATGGTCTATAAATTATATCTCAATATGAGAAAAATTTATAGGGCTTGTTCTCAGGACATGAGTGTTTATGTTTCTATGATAAGAATTCTGTAGACTGGGTGATGTGAACAACACACACCAATTTCTCACTGTTCTGGAGCTTAGGAAGTCTAAGATGTAGGCACCTACAGATCTAGTGTCTGGTAAGAGCCCTTCCTGGTTTGCAGATAACTGTCATCTGTCATTTCCACACATGGTAGAGAAAACAAGCTCTTTCTATTTTTATAAGGACACTAATCCCATGATTGGGACTCCTTCCTTATCACTTCTGATAGATTTAATTATCTCCCAAAAGCTCTATCTATCTCCTAATACCATCACATTGTGGGTTAAGGTTTCCCAAAAAGAATTCTTGACAGGTATGTGTGTGTGTGTGTGTGACATAGACATATAGTCCATAACATACAAATTGTGTCACATTGTCTTCCAGTGTGTTAATAAGACACTAATTTGCACTTATTAACAGCACATAAGAATTTTCATTTTGCTATAAAATACCCAGCACCTAAATTTTTGCCAATATAAATGGTAAGAAATAATTAATTCCTTGGAAATCAGTTTAAAAACAAAAGTAAAATGTCACAAGCAATAAATTTTAATAATTATTGCTGTGAATTATGATTTCAGGAGATAACTTACTGTGTTTTTGTTATTCTGTATGGTTTGATTTTTTTTTTGTTATGCACCTTTTCATGGAAAGAGTATAGCCCTCAAGCCCAAATTTATAACTAAAATGCCCAAGTCTAAAATCCATTCTTACAAGTCCAGCACTTTTCCAAATCATTACTGCTCCCATAGCTTTTAGACATAGAATGATAATTCTAGGATGCTCCAGCAGCCCACTGGATGAATGAGAATGTCAGGTCTTATTAGCGTCACAGGTGGATTTGCTCTGAAATACCCCTGGTTTTTATTTCTTAGTTTCTCTCATGGCAAGAGCTCACATAGGACATAGATGGTTGGGATTTAGTGTAAAGACTATAACAGAGAATAGAACTCTTTTCTCTGTTTGTAGAAATTGTAAAAGAATGGAGTTGTTTGATTTTATGCAAAAAAGTCTTCCATTTCATCCATTCTATTTTAGCCTTGATTTTTGCAGGCATTTGGGCTATTGGCTAGTCTTAAAAGCTGAACTGAACCTTTATTCACTAGAGTAAAATGGTAATTATTCCTGAGAATCCATTAAAAGCATCTTTTAGGAACTTTTTCCTCTCTCTCTCTGTGTGTGTGTGTGTATATATATCTTTGTGTGCGCACACTTACGTTTAATTTTATTTGAGACAGAGTTTCACTAAGTTGCCCAGGCTGGCCTTGAACTTGTTTCCTTTCTAAACCTTCCCAGTAACTAGGATCACAGGCATGTACCACTGTGCCAGGTTCTTTGTGTGTGTATGATTAAATATTTAAAATAGACATTCTAATTTTGGAAAAAATGATAGAAAATATTGACCAATTCTGGGAACAAAAAGAAAAAAACAATACTCTTTACCTAGAGTTAGTTATCTGTTTATATAATTTTCTTGGTCCATTCCTAATTGACACTTAAGCTTTTTGTAAATGAATTTTTTTAGATATCACAAACAGTGCTGTAATGAAAATCTCCAGAGTCTGTAGTTTTTACACTTAATCACCTTTTAAGGTAGATTGAGCAAAGTGGAGTTTCCAGGTCAAGGTTATGTGCATTTTTTATTTTGGTACTTATGGTCTGACCTATAAAAAGTTTTGATCAATTAACACCTTTTTTCTTTCATCTATTATGACCTGATCCACTCCAAAACACTATATTTTATACCATCCACATAGAAGACTCATACTTATCCACACCTAGTATGACATCAAGGTCTAAGCTAGATCCTTCATGTGTAGCTTTTGAGGCTTAGTTTAAATAACTTGGTCAAGGTGATACAGTTAGTAAACCTGAGGCAAGATGTGAATCCAGGTACAGAGTTCACCTCA